AGGGGATGATGTTACTGATGAATATATGTTTGCAAATGCTCCTAACGCTTTAAAAGTTAAGGTAGGACAAGGTCCTACATCAGCCGATTACTTTGTTGATTCGGTGCAAGACTTCTTAAATTTTGTTTCATTTGTTTTGAGTGAATAAAAAGAAGTTTAAAAATTTTTTAATTTTTTTTACAAATGAAATTCTTCTACAAATCGGAGGATGAAGATTTAAAATTTATTTGTTCTATTATAAACAAGAGTATATTAATGGAATTAGCTAATGAAACTTATTTAGTTAAAGATAACATTAAATATGAAGGAGATGATTTAGTTATATTTTTATTTGAATGTGTTAATATTAAAGCAGATAAAACGCTGATTAATAAGTTTATTTCATTTAGAAAATCACCCTCTAAATCAAACACTAATAATATTTTATTAAACGGTGTTAATTATATCAATTTAATAAGATTGATGTTAAAAAATGGTTCATTTAAAGATTTTGAATTTATTAGTGATATGGCAGATAAATACAAATTTAGAGATATTGTTGATCCTGATTTCATTATAATGGGATTGAGAGGAGGTTTTATTAAAGACATTATTGAGGTTGAAAATAGTGATGCATTATACAAAGAAACTGTTAAATTTTCTGATAATTATGAATGTACAATTTGTTCTGGTTTACAAAAGAAATTTGATAAGAAAGATTTAATTGAAAATCATTTTTTATTTTTCTTTAATCTTAAACCTGTTAAATTTATAGGAATTGAAAGCTGTGGAATGATTTGCTGTGGAAGTAATGAAAATAATTTAGAATTAATTAATTGTAGTGACAATGACTATTTAAAATTAGACGGACACTTGGATATTTTTAATTCAATAAAGACCGGTAAGTTTGATGCTAAAAAGAAAAATTTGATCAAATCAATACAAAATTTCCATATTAGTAATCATACACTTTTTTTTAAAAATAAAAAATGTTCTATTAACAATCAACATGTTAAATTTAAAATGGAAACTGGAAAACTTAGTTAATAAATTACTCAACATCGTATTTATTAATTTATATCATTATAATTAAATATGGAAGTATCTTCACCCCATATTGTATTATTAGTTTTTTGTGTGATATTCTTATATTTAATATCTTCTTTGATTATTTCAGGCTTAAAATAATGATAATTCTTTCTATTTAAATTATTAGAATAAAAATCTTCTCGTGCCATTTTATATTCTTTATCATTTATTAATGTTAATAAACTTGATTTTGTTTCTTTATTGTCGATTGTGTCTATTTCATTCATTGGTAACTCATCATCTATTGAAATATTTTCTTTCACTTTATCACTTTTTAAATATTTTATGTCTTCTTCTGGTATTTTGGTGTGCAATTCATTTTTAAAATGTACAAAACAACATCTTCTTCCATAAGGACATGTGCCTTGTTCCCAGAATACTCTACATACTTCTGTCTTATACTTAGGATGTCTATTTATTGTCCGCAATTCAACTCCCGAATGTGAGAATTGGCATCTTTCCCCATATTTACAATATCCTTGTTCTGTAAAGCTTCTACACATTTCTGTCTTATAAAGAATTATCTTTTTATTGTTAAAAAATGACTTTTCATCAGATCTATTTATCTCTTGATATTTCTTACTGTAAATGGCTTTAGTATTTACATTTAGGGTTCCATTCAAATTTTTATTGATGCTCCCTTTTTTATGTCTATTACTATCTTCTTTCTTTAAATGTCCTTTATCTTTATTATATTCTTCTTTACTATGTTGATCTATCTTATTTGTCTCTATTTCAACTTCCTCATTTTCACTTACTTCAATTGTTCTGTTCGTAAGTTTCATGCTAGGGTATTGTTAATCTTTCTTTTTATATCAACAAATAAACAATTATTTTAGACTAAATTATTATTAACTTTAGATGTTTGTCTATTTTAACTTTTTAACATTTCTTTACAATTTATTATTAGTTTTTTAATTAAATTTATTTGTTTTTTAATTTTATTTGAATTTAAGAAATTTTAATAATTTTGACATTTACTTTTAATTTACTCTAAGTAACTTTTAAACTGACTAAGTTTATTAAATAAACTCTTTTATTATTTTATCAATTGCATAGTTGATTAAAGTATAATCTTTTAATATTTTCTATTGAAGAATTATAATTTATCATATAAATAAACAATTCTATAATTAATCACTTCTCTTTTTATATCATCAAGTATTATTTCATCATTAATGTTTATAGAAATAGAAAAATAAAATTTTAGTAATTTAATAGTACAATTATTGGTTATCGTTGTTAAGAATGATGGTAGAATATTTTGTTTTATGTTATTTAAATTAGATTCTTTATTATAAAACTTTTTTAATTTACTTTCTAAAAGATTTATTTATAAGATCTACACTGCTTGTTTTTCATTAATGAATATTTTGTAAAAATATTCGATTTTCTTATTTAAAATCTTTTGATATTCTTTAATGTTTTTTTAGTTTTTAATTACCGAGATTCATTTTTAAGAAATACTTACACTATATTTTTCTCAATAATTCACTTCTTACTTTTCTTATTAAAAATAAATCTTAAATTTTACCATTGTAAATTTTTTATATTTATCAGAAAAAAGTTTTTCATTAAAATATTATCTATTAACAATTTTAAGTAATTCTATAAAAATACTGCTCGTACTTTCTTTCGAAATTTATACACTCTTATCCAAATCACTTTTAATTATAAATGTAGTTTTTTATTTTATAAATTATTTTATAATCTAGATTCAATAGATTA